TACTGAAGTTCAGGTGCAGATCTACAAAGTTTGGATTTATCCAGCTGTGCCTAGCTTGGGTCTGGCTGCTGTGCTCAGCTCCTTCCTGCTGGTGCCCTTGGGGGTGAACCTGTTGTACCCCTCTGGCAAGATTTTCTGCTATTGGACTAGTTGGGTGGTTCTGTCCTCTACACTCTCTTCAGTGATTGAAGCTGCAGGGTTTCACCCCAGGCCTATATGCCAGGCCTGAATTGAGCCTGTAGGGGACAAGGTGGAGTAGTGGGGAGAGGCTGCTCTCCCACACACTCACCGTGCCTGAGCTAGGATTGGGTCTGGGGATTCCTGGAACGTGGTAGAAATTCCTACTCAGTGGGTGGAGTGGGGGAGGTGCTGCGTAATGGTGGGGGGCGTCCCAATGGGATGGAAGAGTGTCTCACCCACGCTGCGCCTGGGCTGGGACCAGTAATAGGTTCCCCTGGTGCAGGGTAGCTGGAAGCTCTCCCACACACTCACCGGGCCTTGGCTAGGACTCCTACAATTTCTTAGGAATTATTTCATGGATTTCATTTCTTTCCTGTGTTGGGCATTAATTGTTTCCATCATTTTCCTCAGCTTCTCTATTTGTGTCTTCTCTAATGTCTTTAATTTTGGCCATTTGTTTTTTTACCTAAGAAATTATTGTTCATATAGCCTCCCACATTTTTCTTTTCATTCAGAGGCTATCATTTCAGAAAGTTCCTGTGGGTATCTTCTTAATTCTTTGATCTTATTGGGGTTTGGAATTATCCTGTGTAGGCTGGACATTGAGGTTGCATATTGCTTCTGTGTCTTGCCATTTTCTAATTCATATGTCTTCTACTTTGTTTCTGTGTTGATGCTTCTAGATTTCTTACAGTAGACAGAATTATCACTAGTATGGAGGCTTCCCCGGGAAACGGATATTCCTCAGGGGTGATTTCTAGATTTTAGTAGCTCTTTGTCTTTGTGTCTATCCAAAGCACCAACCATCCCAATTTATTAAGAATGAGAATCTATGTGGCTCAACACTCACTTTTTGTTACTGGACCATGGTGATGGTTATGGCCCCAAACAATCACAGTGCTGTCATGCAAAGCAGAACAATTGATTATAACAGGTATGATGTCCTGGCTAATGTAGTGCAGTTAGCAATCACAGTATTATTATGCATAGGCTAACTACTGATAAATTGTGTTAACTATTCATCTGATGACTTTAATCATCAGAACAGCAGGCCGGGGAGATAGCTCAGTAGAATAAGTGCTTGCCTGGCAAGCACAGGGTCCTGAGTTCAATCCCCTGTCCTGCAAAAAAAAAAAAAAAAAAATCATCAGAACAAATTCTATAGTTATATAACAAATCTAGGCTCTTACATGCAATGATTTCCCTGTTAGTGTAGTGATTTTTACTCTGTACAAGGGGAGAACAAATTAGAGAGATGATTTGAGGCAAATACAGTGTAGGCAAGGCTGTAGGGCAAAGGATGATAACTCAAGTCTTGGGAAACTGGAGATCACAGGGGAAAAAGAATGAAAGAGAAGACCAAGGAATAATAAAGGGAGACAGAGAAGAGACAATATTCACTTACATGAAAATATCATAAGATCAAGAGAAAGCATTGAGGAAAGAGAGAGAGAAGACAAAAAGAAAGGAAACTTAAATTGTGAGGAGAAAGAAAAGGACATAGAAATGACAACCAATCAAACACAGAAAAAGAAAAATAAGAAAATCTGTGGATGCCCACATTTCTGTGGTAGTGTCTAAGTCATATTCTGAAAGTGTGCTGTTCAATTCTGCCAAGTTTGCAGTAGGATTTGTGGGGACCGGTCTTCAGTGGACAATGCCCTGGCTGTCAACTTCTCCTTACTGTGATTGTCTCTAAGCCTCTCTCCCAGTCGCTGTGGCACTAATGAACAGGGAAACCTGGAGGCTGCTCCCAGACCTGTAAGAAGTTGGTTCCTTCCAGACCCTGCACAACTTCCTCTGCTGCATGTTACTGTCTCCTCTTACATCCTCAAGCGGGAGGCGTGCCCTTTCCAGTCTTTCCTATGAAGGGAGAAGTCAGGCTTTTGGTGGCCACTGGAGTGGACTACTGGTGGCCCAGGGCCCGCTCCTCAGAGTAATTCTCCCCCGTCTGCTTCCCACCATGCTAGCACTCTAGTGTGACTTGAGGGCCCTCCCCTCATTGCACTTTGGGGCATTGTCAGTGCAATGACCTGGGATGTTCTGCTGCTGGAGTTTGCTCTGTGCCTTTTCAAATAAAATGTCAGCCCCACCTGCACACTTCTGTTCAACGTGTCTGTGAGCTAGAGCGCAGAGCCAGCTCACCTCCCTCACCAACCGCTGGCTCCTCTTTGCCCTACTGCTTCACAATTTTCCCTGCTGCATTTCTGGTCTTACCTGTGGCATGTGGTTATTGTGTAGATTCTAAAAACATAATTCTCTATATGTTCTATAGAAAAAGAGGTGGAGCCTACTCTCAGATTTACATATCAGGTGGTAGGATAGAAGCCAGTTCCTACAAGTATGACAGAAAATCCAAACCGAAAAGTAGCAGGGTGAGTTTTTGAATTTTTGTCTGAATAAAGGACATGGTGTTAGGGAATAAATAGCTCTGAAGGAGTAAGCTTTTTCTGTGGACGTGTAGGTGAGCAGAACTGAAGGGAAGAAAAGCAGGAGAGGAAGAAAGAGGCTCAGAGGACCCGGAGTGGAGGAAGCAAGAACAACCTGTGTTAGCAGGGCCCTGTGGTTTTGCTGGAATCAGTTGCTGTTTCGCAATCTGAACTCTTAAGTGTTAACAGTCGGACAGAGGAAGCTGAACTAGGACAAAATGAGTTCCAGAAGCTGTTGTCATAAAGAATATGGGTGTTTAGTGCTTCATTATTTTATTACTTAGAGATAAATAAACATGAGATGTAACAGAGTCACCTCTGCGGTTCACTTAGAAAGAGGACAGGAGCTCTCTCTTCAGGCGGTTCCATGTGTGCAGATGGATAAAGTTAAAGGGACGGAGGTGGTGGAGCAATGAGAAGGTGTCCTCAGTTCTGCAGAGATGGAACTGAACCCAAAAGAAAGTCTGTGTTGAAGATCAGAGAGGAAAACAAGGCTGACTTCATGACTTGAGGAATTCTTGTGCAGACAAAATCAAAAGCAAGTTGCTGGTGCTGTTGACGCAGGCACAGCAAAGGGTCTGCGGGACGAATTGCTAGAGCCCGGAGTGCTGAACCGGGAGTGGTTCAGATCATACAATGCAGCGGCTGTGGATAAGGCCGCGCTTTCCTGGCCTCTTTGGAAAATGGTCCCCAGTCCTACAGACTTTTATCAGCTCCATTTGTGAAGAAGATTGCAGCCTTGCTGGGACACGGGGGCTTTTCTCACCTCAGGCTCAGTGACTCGGGCTGAAGTTGACACAGACCACGAGATCTGATTTCTCCACTAATAGCATCAGTGCGCAGATGTCTTCCATACTGTAAATTCGGGGTTCCCCTTCTGCATCAGCAGCATCTCTGCACATCCCCTCCCCCCTTTTCCCCTTGAATTTAGCCTCAGTGGCCTTCATTTCACTGAAGCCCATCTGCTATCTTGCCTACGTGGTCACTAATTTCTTGGATGAAGACTCCATTAAAAACATCAAAAGACATACGTTCTTCTTCAAGTTAAGGAACTTTTTGAGGTTCCTAAATGTTAGGTCCCAGACTCGTGGTGGGCTTCTGTTCTTGTCTGATGTGAAGACACAGGCATATAATCTAACACTGTCTATGAATTTTCTCCAAAATTCATTCTTCTGGGAAAATATACTGTGGTTGAATGATGGCGGGGCACTCAGAGAATAAGCTGCATAATGAAGGCAAAGCAAAGATTTTAAATAGAGTCATTGTTTCAATTGTGACCTTGTATTTTCTTTGTTATTCAGGATTGTCCACCAGCACAGTGGACTACCAGGAACTGAATTATTTTGCACCTCCCGAGTACCTTTCCAGGTCTCTTCTAGGTGCTAGCAGAATCCTTTTCCAGTCCAGCTGAATTTGTGTGTGTTTTCTATGTTTAGCTAGGTGCAATGTATTCCTTATTTTTCTCTCAGCATTTTATTTTCTTTTTATATCCTATCAAGTCTCTAAATGAAACATAATCACTTAACAGTAAGGACTAAGAATGATTATAAAATAACCAAAGTGTTTTCATCCATGTTCCAGTCCTGCCTTGGAGTTTTAGTTAATTCCAGAGCCTGCTGTGACTGTTCTAACAAATGACATCTGTCTCTCTGGTAAGCAGTGGTTATCTCCTCGTTCATGTTGTTTCCCTGGACATGGCTGCAGAACATAAAAGGTAATAAATGGGTGTACTTTAATGCGAGAGGTCTTCCTAGAACCATTTGCTTTTCCTTAAACTTGAGATGACCAGAAAACAATCACAGTTTGAAAGATAATGGAGCAATGGGGAATCAGATTTAAAGCAGTTCTTCTAAATGATGTCTGAAACAAGAGAATCCCAGGAAGCTTTCAACTCTAAATTGAACCAATATGAACAGCAGAAAGTCTACTAGGAAAGACAAGGTACAGTCTCACAAGGGTTCCATTGGCCCCTGTGCTGTATTTGAAATTGAGTCACCACAGTGATTGGATATGAGATAGTTTGACTTTGGTAAAATGGTCCAGCCAGCCAGCTGGAACATTAATAAGCTGAGATGGTAAACCCTGGCAAAGACCCTGACCAGCCCTATTAAATGACATGATTCAGAGCATAATGTAAAGATACAGAATGACAAATAAAAAGAATCGAAGGTAATTGCTTCATTTGATATATCCAAATGTTGTTATTTAGTAAGAGATAAACACTTCAGTACCTCTGTGACAAATAATATAACTCTGTTTAATCCTATAAGGATCCTTCATTTTGTATCAATTACACCATGTTCCTGAAAGTTTCATAAGGCTCAAAAATTATTTTTTTCCTCAATTTTGAATTCCTCCATTTCTTTCTGTTGTACTTACTGACTAATCAGGTCTCCCTTCAGGAAGCTCTATGCTACTAACTACTTGCTAATGAAAAGTTTGCTCTCATGCTAATCTTGCTATTGAATATATTAGAAATTTTTTATAATATAAAATTTTACTGCAAAACTATGTAGCTATGCTTAGGTAGTGATTGTCATCAGATGATTGTTAACTCAGAAAAATCTCCATGTTAGTAAATAAAATGGGAATTCTAGAAAATTCACGTAAAGAAACACATCCTTTGTCTATGGACTACTCCAGGATAGTGTAAAACTCCAATGGACTGAATTTTCTAAAGTACAATGGGAGAACATGTGTCATGATAGGTTTGATATTCTTATGTGCTCTTACAATTTGCTGTATCTCAAGAACTTAAGATTTGACTGACTTTGTCAGATACAAAAGTGACATTTCTTATTATATAGGTCTTGCTTTATCTTGGTGTTAACCATGCAGCAGAAAAGTATAAGAAGGAATTATAAAAAGTAAAGCCTTATTAATATGCTGAGCTATAAAAGGTTCAAGTCAACAACTTCTGACATTGCCAGTCTTATGGAAAATCCACTACTATTATGAACTACTGAACTATATTGGAATATTTTGCTGAATGCACGCACCTACATTATTTAAATGAAAATGGAATATCCATCTCTGACAAAACTAAACAAAAAAGAAGAATCAATTGAAGTACCATTTTGTATCTGTATATTCAAAATAGGATAGATACATAGCTCCTTTCTCTTAATTCAGTGGATAGAAAGATTTGTACTAATAGTGTATGGGGACAGGATATTATGTCTGCATCTTGTACTATGAATAACCACGAAGAAGACAACAATAAGTAACGTATTAATTAGTGAAACTGTCCTACGAAACAGTTTTGAAACTGTCTCATTGCTATTTGTTTCTCAATAAAATTATTTAAAAAAGAACTTAAGGTCTTATTATATTTTTGAAAGATAATTATGTAAATACTCATAGAGAAAATGAACAAAATAAAAACAATAAAAGTAGTATAAAACATATATGGGGAAAGATTTCACATGATCATATTACTTTTATCTTTTAAATAAAATGAAACCATATAATACCTAAGTTAACTTATATAACTAAACAAGAATAATGTAACTGTCCATTCCCTTCATCAAAAGAAATAAATTATATTGTACCTCAGTAAAGTTTTAATTTCTGTTTATGAATCCCTGTCCCATTTTTCTTCATGAAAGAGACCTATTACTTCTCAGTAGCTTGCACACTCTGTCAAGTAGGGTTAAACAATATCAAATGGTACTGTATTCCTTTAGGGACACATCAGTATGACTCAGAAATAAACCTAGCCCAAAAGGGTGAGCTATTTTCTCCACATCATGAAGTATGTGTTAAAAAGCCTAGTGTTGGGTTCTCAGCACTCTGCAGGCAAGCTATCCAGAGTATATCAGAAACTTTAAACAAAACACTGCTCCTTTGACCTTGGAGAAACACTGCTCCTTTGACTAGTTGATATTTCTTCATTAAATGACTTAGATTTATAAGGAATGATTGAAGCTTATTTCCTCTAGAAAGTTTCAAAATTTAAATTAAGATTTCTGAAAGAATAGTGCATAGATGACACAAGATAGAAGATATTCAGTGTTTCTTGCATCCTCTGCATGTGCGGTGTGGATGACTAGGTATTACTGGTATGGGATGATCTACTGTACAATACAGTAGCCACTAGCCATACGGGGTGCTTGAATTCTGGCTGGTGACACAAGGTGAAATGATAGTATGTGATTTATATGGAATTAAATAAAGTGTATTAATAAAATTAATTTTTCCTGCTGAATTTTACTTTACAAATGTATGTAAAGATTTTTTAAAAAAATATTTCCTAAAAAAAAAAATTTCCTGTCCAGGAGACTTTAATGTCACATACTTTCTGCACATTGTTTCATTTCATTATCACATTGATCCCATGAAATGGCCAAGTCCTGTGAGGAACGGGAAGCCTGAGCTTTATTTATTTTTTATTTTATTTTATTTTTCATTTATTTTAATGATAAAATAGCAATGATACAGTTTCAAAACAGGTTAGTCAGATAGCTACAATAATTAATACACTGCATATTGTTATCTTCATAGTAGTTATTTAGAGGAGAAGATGCAGACATGTCTTTTTCTAAAGCATATTAGTACAAACCTTTCTTCTCAATGAACTAGGAAAAAGTATTGGATATCTATCCTATCTTGTGTATAATACAGATATGTATATACATATATGTATTTTTTTTTTTACAACAAAGCAGTCCTTTATGTATACTTTTGCAAAGTTAGTAAGACATGATACTAGATTGCGTAGTGACTAATGGTTGACATTAACCAGACAGGATGTTCACCTCCAGAGTGAGGTAGCTTATTTGCTCTAGGCCCTGAGGCCTAGTCCCACCTACATGCATTTGATCAATTTCTTAGCGTCACGCCTCCCAACATATCCCTCTTTTTGTTTTGTATTGTCAAAGATGGGTGCTCCACTGCAGTTAGAGAAGGTGAATTTGGGGAAGTCTTTAAAGGACCTTTTCACTCTTGAAGCCAGTCCAAAGATTGGAGGCACTTGAATTCAGCAAAACAACCCATTATTTTCCAATAGTCTATAGAAGTAGTGAGCTATCAGTACAACTGGCAATTGTCCAGAGTTGCTGACTTGAGCCTTTCAGTGCACATGCAGTTTGTATTATATTTGCGATGGTCAGCACTTTTAAAAGTATTCAAACCACTGGGAAAAAAAGTCACAGTTTTTGTTGAACAGCAAAAGGACAAATTTAAGCCTAAACCATGAATATGATTTTCCCAAATTACAAAATCAGTTATTGTATTTTTGATTTTTTTTTTTTTTTTACTGAGGAATTGAACTTACTTTACTTACCTCAATGGCTCTCCTTATGGGAAGGGAGGCATTACCA